TTCTATGATTCTATGCAGCAAAACACCATCTTTGGCTTGTTCACTCAAACAGTTCAGTTCCGAGTGCTCCGTCAAAAAGTAAGAAACAAAATAGAAAAAGCAGAAGAACTAGTTTTTATGAAAGAACAAAGATAAAGTATTGAACTGTTTTTTCCTAAAGAAATGTATTTCCTTTGTGTTCAAAGTAGAACACAAGGCATTCTTAAAAATCTAAGTAAATTAAACAGGCACTAAAAGGAACGTGTTTACACAATACTGTAATACAGCTATAAACATTTTCATTATGATGTTTATGTTCTTTAAAAGTGATGTGTCTAACATCATATATTCTTACATACTCAGAAAATGACAGTGTTCTAATATGAAACCTGTCATCTTAAGAACTGAAGAAGAATGCATTATCCAGATCAGAAGACAGAAAAAATCTTTATTTTGCTATGGAACAAGCAATCTAATGCAAGACTGTAGATTCTTTAATAAACAGTAGCACAAGGTCCCATACCCCCACCAAGCACACGCTGGCAGTGCAGAGTAATAGCCAGTTATTCCCTTTTCATGCAGCTGTTACCACAACTACAGTTAGCAGATGCAGGGGGAGAAAAAACCCAACGCAGTAAACCATAACCACAAAATACACGTCACTCAACAGAACGTATCTCCTGCTGTTCATCCCATACCGCAGTGACTGCTTCTGAACGAAGCAATGGCTTCATAATGCAGAAATGTTAAATTGGCTTCACTGCAAAAGGAGGAAGCCAGCTAGTTTACAACTGGAACTGAGCTTTATTATCAGATGTAAATGCATATATCATATACATTTGCTCTCACTCAATGATGAGGCAGAAAAAGAGCAGAGAGACAGTATTTGAATGTATATGGAAGAAAATTAGTCTTTACTCAGTAAATTATTTTCTTTAAACACTGTCCCCTTTGTGGTCTCAAAGCACCTAAACAACGACTGTTCCAAGTCTAACAGAAGATAGATGCTAGTAAAGCCAAAAGCAGCATCCAGTCTTAAACATTTCTAAATTAAATAATAATAAATAAAATAGCTTTGTTTACAATTAAATACTTCTTTATAGGTACTAGATAATGACCGTCTATGCCTGCCTTTACAGTTTCATAATGAGGAGCAAGGGAACAGCAGAAACTGCTCATGTCCTCATACATTTGAGCTGGCAATCTTCTACAAGCTCCATCACACCATGACACCCTCTGAAACTGTGAGGATATACTCCAAGTGGGAAACTGATACTGCTCATTGCTTAGACAACTGCTACAATCAAAGAATCTCAAAGATTTAGTGCTCTGTATTGAAACATAGAAAGTTCTCTTAACGTTCACTCATGCAGCCCAGTTCTCCTTTAACGAGTGTTAGGGGAAGGAGAAAGATGAGATACCAGAGCAACTAAAAAGACCACCTGGTTTAAATAGAAATCCTTTTCATCCAGAGACTGAAAGCATAGGGATGTCCAAGTAGCATGCTGGGGGCACAGAACATCTCAAGGGTGACAGGTCTGCCGAAAAACCTGACATTGCCCCTGAGGTGAATGCAATAAAGATGGGAGAGCTTCAACAGCAGCAGGACAAAAATCTCAGATGCGTGTGAAAGGCCCCATGAAAATCACAATAATGTCCACAGTAAAGGTGGGACCTGAAATGGGTTAAACCACTTCAAGAATTTGAATCAGAGACATAAAAAGCTATGCATCGTTACAGAATTACAGTTCACAAAAATAGCAGCTAACAATCATGCTGAACCAAGCTATGAAATACTCCTCACACCTCCCAGAAAACAGCTGCTCTGAAGCAATAACCGAACTTTGGGCTAACCAGGAATAAAAATGCTTTTGCTTGCAGCAAGGTCTGAAAGGATCAAAAAAAAAATCTACACCGTATCCATCCACTGGAAAACAGTGGTGACTACATTCAACTACCAGGTCTCAAATAAACGCCTGAAAAATATATATTGAAGGGATGTACTGTTTCACATCTATACAGAAATTATGTAAACAAAACCAAACAACACACAAAAACATTTCATCTCTGCTCTGAGATGAAATCAAAGAAGTTACTGGGAATGTAACTAGCAAGACAGACTAACATTACAGACAACATGCAACAATTTATGACCAATACTGAAATATCTGATATATTGATTTATGGCATATATGCTTATAGTATGATGTGAAAGCATGCTTATTATGAAACCAGGGCTGTTGTATGAAGGCACTCCTTTTGATTTAACATAAACCTTCTTGTAAGATTTCATGACTGCTAGGCTAAACCAGGTACTTCCAAATTAAGTTCTAACATTTATCTATCCTTACAACTCACAACCTGACAGGTATTTAAAAGAGCCAATGGCGCAAGAAAGCAAGATAGAACAAGGCAGTGTGAGTGAGTGTAAGTGAGATTTCTCTTAAACAATTGGAGCACTGTGAATCTCTTTCACTGCTTTCTCCTCCTTCATATGAGAGGGAATAAAAGGAAGCAACAGTTTCCTAAAGTTTGGAAAAGTACACCTGGAAACACACTAAATTTCAAAACATGCAAGCAAGTTTGGCCTACCCTATCTTACTGGCTATACATTTATAAATGCGTACTTAGAGGAAAGAGGGATTGGATTTAACAGAACTACATGGTGAGTTTGAAAACACTGCAAAATATTTTTGAAATACAGGTATTTGAATGTATCAAGAGTTCTATGGTTTTGCTTACTCCAAACATTTTAAGTAAAGAAAATAGAGAAACTGCATTTCAGTTCCTACCAGCCAAAGCTGCATCCTCATCACTTTCTGATCCATATTGCAATGCCATGGTTATTGCTGATAAACGATCCCCTTGGGCTGATCTTTTGTTACTATAAAAGAGAAAAAAAAATTTTAAAAGTGCAAAATTAAAAAAAGAAAAGGGTTATCATGTTAACCATTAACAGTCACCCAGAGTGTGCAAGTGAAGAAGTGAAGCTCATGACGGTTGGCTATACCATCAGGAATACAGATATGACTATGCAAGAAAAGACTGGAGCCCTTAACAAGAGAAACTGTTAATGACTCACGAGTCTGCCTCTATTTTGAGAGGTGGGCCATCAAACTGAAAAACTGGACACACCATCAGAAAGCTAGAGCCCAAGCTGTCTAACTTCCCTCCTATTTTGAATACCTTGGTATTAGAATTACTGGGAGAGAAGGAGGATGATAACAAGTCCCTTCTAATTAATAACGTTATTACTTAACGGGGACGTGCCTACATGCAGGAATTCAGCATGCTGTAAAGCTGTATACGCGATCACCTCTCATTCCCACCTCAGGCATTTTCAGCACACCGAGTGCCTGTGTGTGAAGCAGCTTCCTCTGCTTTCTAAATGGAATCAATCAGTTCCCAAAGACCTCTTCAGCACCCCTTTCACCCCAAACCTGGGGCACAACATTTCACACCTACACCGTAGGCCACGCCAGACAAGCTTTGCTTTTTTACTACGTCAGCTCTTTGGCCACCGCCAGCAATGGGCCTGTGGGGGTGAAGTGAAGACTGGGAAAAAGCAGATGGGTGGCTTAAAATGTCACCAACTCTGTACAAATGCTCAATCCCTTACGGGCCCTTGCAGCTGCTGCGCTAAACCATGGCTTCAGTGTATGCACACAGGGAGTAATACACACAGCCAGGAGCAGTACTCTCTCAGGACAGCAACCCACAGACTGTAGGCACGAGGCCTGTGCTAGGGACCAAAATTCTCAACTGATGACTAAAAGAACAAACCAGAAAGCCTCCAGAAATCCAGCCCACTCAGCAAGTTTGCTGTAAATGCACCCCAGATGCAACATGTTCTGTTTACACACTTCACTGGCTTCTACCATCCATCTCTTCATTAGGTAGTCTTACTTATTATTTCCTTTTAGTCTCCAAATACACTTTTTCTAGGTTTACAACACATTTCCATGTTATTTTCACCTGTTTCATTTTGCAATGAAGCTTAACATATTCTTCTTCAAAACGTTTCTAAGGAAATAATTGTTTACAGAGTGTTTCATGACAGGTGTTTTGAAATGTTACATATCAAAATCAAACATGGACAAGTAATTATGGCAAAATAACTGATTAAATCAGACTTAACAGTTATTTGGCTAAAATATATTTGAATCTCAGAAGTATTTAAGTCAATATTGAAAAGCGCTCAAAACAAACAAACCAACCAAAAAAAACCCCACCAACTAAACAACAAAAACAAACCCCGGCATTTTTAATTTTAGTATTTCCATATGATGACGACCCAACTTGTCCTCCAAGTCCACAATTTACTTACCGATAATATTTGTTAGAAGAATTTCTCTCATCACCAACACTGCCTTTACCCTGTGAGGAAGGACCTGTCAGCTTGGAAGCAGTCAAATTTGATGGAGTCCTTAAGGCAGAAGATACAAGCCAAAGAAAGGGGAAAAAAAGAGGCCCACCTTAGACCCAAGAAAAAGACACAGCAAGCATAAAGCTTTTTACAGAATTACTTTGATAGATCAGCCAAAAGGTCCAGAGACAGATATAAAAAGTTTTAAAGCTAAAAGTAAAGTAGCACTAAGACACATTTAGTGCCCCAGCATTAATAGTGATTTTTTTTTTTTTTTAAATAAAGTCAGAGGAAGGTAACATGTAGATTAATGATTGATAGCTATACACACAGCTCAGCCTACAATAGCAGTGAAAACAGCCAACAAAGTGTTCCTTAGCATCCAGATGAAGCAAATCATACAGATCCAGTCCTGGTTTATCAATACTTAACAAAATCACCGTCAAGTTGCTTGACAGGGCACATCGTCAAGCAACTTTATTTTGCCACTTCATTTAAGGGAGGACAGTTAAATGCACCAACAAAGCAATTTAGTACGACAAAGTATACAATGAACTCTGCGATAGAAAAGCATGATTTTTGACACAGATGCGACACGTCTGCAGAACTCAGGTTAGTAGCATTATGATGACTTTGAGCCTGATCCATCAATGACAAAGTAAATCAGATGCGAATTCAGATGAAAAATACAGTCAATTAACTTCAAATGAACGTCCAGGGGTATTTTCCCAAAATCAGCAACAGCTAAAGGAAATCCCCCTTTGAGACAATTAAGCAGTTAGGAATTTAAATAAAAAATAATGATTTTGTGATGCAGATTCAGCAGAGAGAGACAACTAAAAAAGCTTCAGTAAAAAAAAAGGCAACCAGTGAAATGCAGGGCAGCAGCTGAAAGGTTTGGGTTTCACCATACTTTTCTCTCACCCTGAATTGTTTTTGCGTTCAGCCCAATATTACCGTAGCCTGCTTCAGGCATTATAAGATTTCTTTTCTTGTCAAATTAGAGAAACTAAGATGGGAGCTGTCAGTTATTCCCATGTTCAGATTACTTCAGGATTTGCAAGTCTACTGAGAACACAATATATAAGAGAACATCTAGAATAAGGTAGCTGAGAAGTGGAAATTGGTTGGCAGTGCAAGAGAGGAATTCAACTAACAAATATCAGTGTGATTTATCTGCCATCCCTTCTTATGCAAACAGCTTTCTTTTGAAAAAAAAAAAAAAACAACAGGTAAGTCTCAAAATGAACAGGACACACATTTCTGACATCCTGAGCTTCATCAGTGGCCAACACAGTGAGAAAAATAAAATAAAATCACAAATTAAATAGAAAACTTCTACACCTATATGCAAGTCTAGTTACTGCAAAGCAAACACAACTCAGTGTCTGTGGAATCAAGGTCTTCTGGCACTACACATACTTTTAGGAAGGAAAATTATCAAAGTATGTGTCAGGAATTTCCCCCAACAGTATTTGGTTTTATTTTTTCATATGCTGTATGAATTATTCACCCAAACACAGGAAATATGCTAATGCTGAACAAATGAACCAGAAAAAAGCCATACATATGTTAAACGTTTCAAAGCACTAAATAGTAAAAATCAATCACGTAACTTCCATTTCTTTCACACATAATAACCCTAGCTGTAATATTGCCACCATCTACATATTTTTCAGACAACAAAGAAATTTAAACTGCCTTTCAGTGAAGTAGGGGAGCGCTATTGTTTCCAGTTGTACCACACAAACCTTTGCAGAAAACGACAACAGTTATTTTCCAACATCAAATACCAGTAAGAACCTCAAATATACAGAGTCCACCCTGTAAAGAGTTTGCTAACTCATTGGATAACCTGCCAGATGCTGCTTAATTTTTTTTGAGAAATGACACAGCTCATATTGACAAATAAATCTAATTGCATTCCAGATAAGAAATGTCTAAAATGCCTGCATGACTTCTCTGTGCATTACGGATTTTCACAGGAAGAAAACGCTGTTTCCTGAACAAACAGAGCTACTATCAGTGTTTTATACCTGGCCTGTTCAAGACCAAATCTACACTTCACTGATTAATAAGCCCAGGTCTTGAGTGTCCTGTGCCTCCCTTCAGAGCTAAAAATTGATTTTCAAGCAAGAGTTTATATAACATGGACTTCCCTCTAAATATCTTTTCCCCGAGGTCCAGTTCCTGTGTTTCTATCCCTATCCAGCATTTTCCATAAAGCAAAGCAGAACGAAGCACCTCGTTCTTCACCATTCCTTTTCTGTTCACTTATAAGCCCATGTGGAGGAAGTTTGCCATAGCTTAAGTTATGAAAGATCCACTGACACTCTTTTTCATAATCAGATACATCACACACATATTTCACCACAGAAGCACTGCAATGAGAAGATTCCTTCCAAAACTATTTTGATTGATAACTTTAAAAACAACAATGTACGAAGTTTCCAAGCAATTATTTCCCACTATACTCTCCCCAACAAAATTAAGGGAACATCTACAAAGGTTTTTATATAACCTATAAGAAGAATTCTATTTGCAGTACCTGATACGGAGACTTGACTTGGCCAACTCACTGTGTTCAATTTCAGCCTTTTTCATATTAAATATTTTTTTAATCGCATTTGCATCCTGTCAATTAAAAGAATTTTTGTGTTTAATATCGAAAGTGAAGAATGTTATAGTCAGGTCCACGTTATAGTCAGTTATGTTATAACAGAATGTTATAGTCAGTCCATCTATCCTAAAACAAAAATGACAGTGTTTTTACATTTAAATTTAAAATAATTTTGCATGAGAAATGAAGCATAGAACAAGGTCTGCCTGAAATACAGCCAGTGGCCTGTAAAAACTGATAAGAACAGCTGAGAAGCTTCAAGCTAATTTTTTGTCATACCCTTTGCATTAAAAAAAACCCTTTAAAATCTACAATTTGCAAACACACACAAATACCAGTTCAAATTAAACAGGCAAATGAGTTTCTGTGCCTTTGCAATCAGAAAGTTCCTACCATTACCAAGCTTTGCAACACTTGCTCTGCCTCATTCTACACCCATAGACTCAATACTGAGAGTAACAATTCACAAAATAGAGATTACAAGTTTTGTGCAAATTTGCAAGTGTGAGTAATGTCGCTGGCGCTGAAACAACAAACCAAACATAAGTGGAACTGGAAAAGTCCAAGAACCATTTACACAACAGTGTTACACACACACACACGGTCTCTCGCTACTAAACCCTTAAAAACCGAGCACACACAGGAATTCTTTACCACCAAAATTCCCATTTCCAGAGCACATGGAAACAGCAGTGTGATAATCTGTACACAAAATGCTGGTGAGCCTACTACAGAAAAGATAGAAGATGTAATCTGGTCACAAAAATATGGCTAAAAGGAACAGGATCTTCCAAAACTATGCCAAGGAGGCATGACTCCGATTTTGAAGCTTATGATGAAAACCCTAAATCTTTCCTGCAATCTGAAAGGATAACAGCTCAGTACCACTACTATCACTTCGACCAGTAGTTTCAGTCATTTCAACTTCAATCCCATGTACAAGGATCCTCCATTACAAAGTCATGTAAATCATACCCCAAGATAAAATTTCATTGGAAAAAATCATACATCTCAAGAAAAAAAAATTCCACATATCCCCATTATACTAAAAGCAATATAAAAAAAGGAAAAGCCACTAATAGATATTTTTTCAAAAAGTAAACTTTTTTAAAATGGGCCTTATGCTAAAGATTCACTTAAGGCTCAATCAGCACAGAAAGTAGTAAATAAAATCTGAACTGAAACTAACCTTGAATACTTGAGATCCAGGCTCATTGTAGGTTTTGGCATTCTTTGCCAGAAGATCTATATCCTTGGCCATTGCATGAATGCTTTTATAAGTTCCATTCTATACAACAAAAACCAGAACTGGTTAAAGTGGCAACCTTCAGACAGCATGAGAACTAAGTCAATAGTGAAAAGCAACGGGAATTCATATAGAACATTTGTAGAAAAACATGTTTATGAAGAGGACAGATAAGCATATGGAAAAAGTCATCAGAAAGAAAGAAACAAGTGCAAACTCCTTACAGAGCTTACAAATGCTAAGTAAAAGATTGAAAAAATACTTATTAGATTATTTTAATTTTGAAGGGTTCTGAGAAAATGTTATTTTACCTTTATTCTCTAGTTCAATGAGACTATGTGCTATCCCTCACTATTATACAAAATGCTAGAATTACAGAGCAGTATTTCAAATCACTGGAGAAGTAAGATGAAAAACACATCAGTGCAAAACATCTATTTATAGCACTAGAACAAAAGTAGGTGATGATAATGCACCACCAAGCTTCAATACTTCAGTGTTTTACATCAGCAGCACTTGCCAAGGAGCTACCTTAAACCATTAAACCCCAAGGAACGCAAGATACTCTGGCTCAATGCCAGCACACTACAGTGTTGTGGAAGATGCTTCATCTTCAACACAGCTGCTTCTGCAGCATTAACCCAGGACAGACCATTAAATCAGCATAGCATTTTAAATAGCAGGGGAAAAAACACATTACTTTTCCTACCGCCATAAACTTTGGCTTCTAACAATTTTAGAATGGTTACTGTTAAACAAGTCTATGCTCTGACACACTAATATGCTCACACTGTACCTGTATCCTTTGGGCAATAGTTTTAAGATCTATGGGCTCCTTTATTATTGCATAATAATCTGGATATTGCTGGAAAACAAAAATAATTTACGTGTTACTATAAACAGTCACAAAGCTTTTGTTCTACTAGCTCACAGAATCAGTTATCGGATGAACTGCAGATAAGAACAGTGTACACTTCATAAGCACAGCACTAGAGTTCAGTTGGGTGAGCCAGACCATAAGGCAGGCACAAGGAATTATAATTCATCAATAAACTGACATAAAGGAACAGTTCTGTCCAAAAGCCAAATATGTGGTGATGGTCTTCAGAGTATTTAATCTGCTGGTTAGACTTGTTACACCACACCCTGAAACAGAACACTGAAATCAGACATATTTAAGAAGATTAAAAACTCTGCACCCAAAAAACCCCAATTACCTAAACCAGCAGAACAGGGCAAGCCCCAGTTTGCAATGAAGGGCGGGAAGCTCTGAAAACAGCTGGAGTTTGGCGCTGATGAGACAGAACAACTGCATCCCAAGTGTGCCCATCACACCGTATATCATCAGCTACATAAATGTCCAGGTTTCCAACTTAGAACACCACCAGTATTATTAGAATACCCACCACTTTAGAAGGCAGTTTCTGAAACAGTTCACTTATGAGACGTCCCGACGGATTTGTGGCAACAGCTATAGCTTCAAGAAGCTGCTCAAGAATTTCCTTCAGGTAACCTGGAGATGACTAACATAAGGAGAGAAATCACCAGAAGTTTTAATAGCAGCCATAGTGGAGTGCTTCAGGTTGCACTGAAATATATGAATTTAGTTTGCAAAGACAGAAAAAGATCAGCTAGAAAACACGGATGCAACTTTTGAAAACATCGTTGTTTATGCATTTAGGTGAAATTAAAGTTCTCTCATGTGCTTCACATTTACACTGCAGACTGTCAGTGATGCGTTACTTACTGCTGGAGAAGACTTAGTTGTCAACATGAAAACATGCATCCCCACTTCACAAAAACCACACGAGTCCAAACTTCCTATCGCCTATCTGGCTTGTAAAACACTCCAGGAAGAGTTGCACTAAGTGAATGGGACAAGTGCTGGAAAACCATAGACTCACAGAATGGTTTGGGTTGGAAGGGACCTTAAAGATCATCTAGTTCCAACCCCCCTGCCATGGTCAGGGACACCTTCCACTAGACCAGGTTGCTCCAAGCCTCATCCAGCCTGACCTTGAACACTTCCAAGGATGGGGCATCCACAGCTTCTCTGGGCAACCTGTGCCAGTGCCTCACCATCCTCGCTGGGAAGAATTTCTTCCTGATATCCAATCTAAATGTCCCCACTTTCAATTTATACCCATTACCCCTTGTCCTGTCACTACAGGCCCTTGTAAAAGGTCACCCCAGCTTCCTTGTAGCCCCTTCAGGTACTGGAAGACTGCAATAAGGTCTGCCCAGAGCCTTCCCTTCTCCAGGCTGAACAAGCCCAACTCTCTCAGCCTGTCTCCATAGCAGAGGGGCTCCAGCCCTCTGAGTATCTTTGATGTCATTTGTCATGAAACTTGCTTGCATCAAACCCCAATGTTGGCATGACATCAAGCATCCGCCGTATTAGTTTCAACTCAACCAGAATCGTATTTTATTCAGATCAGAAAACCTCCTCACTTTATTTTGCTAGGCAAAAGTGAAACACAAACAATGCTGTGAAGTTATTAACCAACAAACTTGTATAAGAAATACCTTTTGGGGCATAATTCAGCTATGAAAAGACTTAATGCCTTTTCACATACAGAGGCCAATCTCCCTCCCAGAGTCAGCTGACATTCAGAGCCACAGCCTGCTCCACATGCCCACACTTACTAATTCAGAATTTGCGCCTTGATTGTCATGTCCGTCGTCATCTTCGTCCTCCTCCTCAGCATCCCCTTTTTGAACAAATTCATTTTTTGTGCGCAAATACAACTCCCATAATTTGCAGGCAGCTTTATATTCAGGAGAATCAGGCTGCAAAAACAAACCAAACGTTCTACTCAAAATTCAGATCATTCTTATCTGAAAGAATTTTATACATGATTAGTTGAAAGGTATTAAATGCATGAAATGAGTGAAATTCCTGCTTCAGTCGCTCTTCAGAGATGTTAAGAATCACAATAAGCACTGGACAAAAGTGCTTATTAGAAAATACAACCTCTGTCACTCCGAAGCACTTCAGTATTTCAGAAAAACTTAGCAATAAAATTACTTGGGTTGAGGCTTGGACAAGCCTATTAGAGGAGTCTGGAGAAATCATTAGGTTTTGTTGAAGCATAACACTACTGATATTTAAAATAGACTAAACATCAGCATGCCAGAAATGTGATTTAAGCCAATACTACTGCCACTGTGCGACTCTTAAAAATTAATCTCTACTGAAGAAGAATGCCAATAAACGTGTCAATGTCTCTGAAAGCACTGCAAGGATTTACATTCTGCATTAACCATGAAATTCCAAAGAGCCTGACAACATGCTACCACCTGGGTACACACCTAGGTATATTTTCTGGAAGAGCTGGAAGCATTAGTCAGCAAATTAAGTTTTGTAAATACAGAGTTGGTAGTGGCAGACGAGCATGTGCCTATTAACAGTACTAATTAAGAACATCACCCAAAAAAAAGACTGTTTTTCCACTCATGTATTTTTATTTCCTTTGCTCTGTCACTTAACCTGTATTGCACATATTCCTGCAGATATGTCACCTTATTACTGCTGATTACGCCCTTCGTACTTGTCTACCTCCGACAGCTTGTAATACAAATGAGAAAGCAACAGGAAAACTGTTCTTGAGCTTAATTTACTAAGCTTAAATATTCTCAAGACATTACAGCTGGCGTTTATTATGAGGAACACATTTAAAGGGTATTCTGCTCCACTAGCCTATTTCCTTCTACATGAAGGCGAGACGCTCAGAAGTGTAAGATTTCAACCAAAACACTAAAAAACCCCAAAGGTTTCTATTCTAATCTAGCATGGCCAATAAAACACCTGCTGTAATCAGGGCCCTGACAATGAATCAGCCAACCCTGGTTCATATGCATCACTGGGACCGCGTGGGTAAGGCAAAAGATGAAAGAAGAAGAGGTTATGTTTGTGCGCCGTACCTCCAGCTCACAACTCTTTCTCTGGAAGTGTCCACATTCCTTCATCCCAGAATGATGGCTACCTATTTCTGTTCTACATGCAAGATTTTTACAATACAGGCATAATTTTGAGTTGACTATTCTGTAGGCAAAGGCAGCACACATTCCGTAAAACCCTAATCATTCTTTCCTGCCATCGAGTCCTTCTCCCTCACGTAGAAACCATGAAAAAGCCTACGTTAATGGGCAAGTGCCTTGCAAAGCTTCAAGAGTACACAATGAATCTGGAAATCTTTGTACTTTTCCCACTGAAACCAGAATGTGCAAGCCCATTAATCCACAAACCTGACTGTTTTTCAAAAAGCTACACACGCACAAACCTAAACCAAATAAACATTGGTTTTCTGAATGCCACCTGGTTACGCTGATTGGGTTATTAAGCAGCTCTTTGGATCATCTCCAACATCAAAGAAATATGAAAGGTTAACATTTGGTGGTTTAAGATTTGCTGTACCATCTCAGTCACTACATACAACATCACTGTTTTATCTATTTAACAGAGCCTTCTACTAAATGAGATTAATCTGGTTTTTTTCCCCACTTCCTTAGGGCAACAGCAATAAAACCCATTACCAGCTCAAATAAAACACATACCCCGTTTGGAGGAATGGACACGGACAGGGGTTGCATCCTTGGTGAAATACATTGCCATACACACTCAGTCTATCATCACTGACCATGATAATCAACGTGCCTTTTTTTCATATTTTTAAGTGGCCAGTGGAAGAGAAAGACTCAACACTCCTCCTGTATGCTTACCATTATTTATAATCTCTTCCTTTTGGGAAAAAAAATGTCTTTTTCTTCATCAAAAGGTGACACAGTGTGTTGTGAAACGGGAAGGATTTGATAGAAAAGTATTTTTCTCAGTTTACATCCCTATTTTTCTTTCTACCTCTTTTGGAAAACTAAATGAAGACCCTCCCCACATTATTTTCGAGTTTTTAACAGAAAAAGTGCTGTAGTAGGATATCTTACAAAGATCTGGTCAACCTTACCAAAATATATACAAATAACTGCAATGTGTGCTGTTCTCTTACCAATAATAAAGAATGAACTGAAAAGTTTTTTGACCAAACCAAGGAAGAGTTTGAACATCTCTACGACTTTAACAATTAATTTTAACCTTTATATGTATTTTCCTCACCTTATAGTAAGCCTTCGCGTTGTTAAAGAGAAGCTGAAAATCAGCAGTCAGCACATTCACATCATCATACTCCTCCATCTTTAGCTTTTGCTGGATCTTCATTAAATCAATTGGCTGAGAAACCACTTCATAATAATCTGGCTGATTTCTGTTGCAACAGCAAAACCAGACATTATATTTCAAGCAGTAAAACCAAAACTACAGCACTAAAGTTTGTATGTCTCTATGACTAAATAAAACGAAGAAAGCTCCTACATATTGTGTTACAGCTAAAAGAGCTGGACAGTACCTGTAGGCTCACTCTACTACACGTTCTGTTTTCATCTTCAATTTTCTGAGCTTAAGATAAAATTCCATCTCTCACTTTATCTACTGCATTTTCAATGATCACGTCTATCAATCTTCCTAAGATATGCCCTTCGTATTACATTCCACCACTTATGTGGTACATTTTATAGTCAAAAGACATAGATGTTTTAGGCAGGTGCCACAAGAGACTTTTCAAATTAATTCAGTGTATCCTTTTTTGACTGAAAAAGGGCACCAATTTTAGCATGCCCCATTGAATAATTACATCAAATACTCAGATAAAACACTGGTGTGAAACTGTGACAAATTTAGCTTATATTTTTCACAGCTGTTGATGCTGAAGGATTCTTCAATATCCACTTATTCCCTGATTAAATCCCAGGTTCAAGGCTTAACCAGACTCATGATCTTACCTTCGCTTCGGTGCCCTAATGAAAAGCTCACAAAGGAGCCTGCCCTGTTCATCTTTGTAATCTCTGATGGTGTTGTAAAGTTCATGGCATACAGCAATCTAAAATTCAAGAACAATAAAGTAATGAAAAAGGAGAAAATCTTAAGGAGGTAACAAGTCAAAGCCTGCTTACAATGGGAAAGACAAGCTGCCAATCCACAGTGTGCTCTAAAGCAGAAATGTGAAGAAATTGGTTGATCTTGTACATTAGAACGATACCCAACAAGCACACCAGGTACTGCAGAATTTTAACTTTTCTTTTTTTGAACACAGGGAGCTTTCTTTCAATGCTAATTCCAAGTAAAACACCCAAAATGTAAATTAACTCAGTACAATTAATTCTCTTTTGAGTTATTGACATCTGAAATGACAACAGGGGTTCTTCTGCTCTGCAATTAATTAAAATTAGGCTGTTAACTCAAAGGCATAACAGAGACATGGTACACTTCAGCAATCACTGCCTGTGCTGTTTCCCACTTATCTCCCTCTGCATTTGCTATTCACACAGCTCTCAACTTCTGCACGTTATGATTTCAGCTCCTTCTCCAACATCCTTCCATCTGCTGAAATCAACAGCAAAAAAAAAAGAAAAGCAGCAAAAGAAAAATGGGAAAGAAAAGATGAAACTGGGGAGACAAGAACAAGCCAAAGCGGAATGAGATCCTAAACAAAGCTTAGCCAAGGCAGCAACAGATTCAGGGCCAGCATATATGCACCATCCGTTTTACAATGCAGCGTTTCCCAGACAGGGATACAGTATCCCCATGAAAAGAGTTGTGCATAATAAGGTACTAACGGGATCTACAGTCGGGAGATTGGAAAGTCTCCTCCTCTTTCTGCTTGGGCCTGGTATATTCGTGGAGTGGTGGCTGTCGTCAAAGTCTCCTCCGCTGACGCTGCTGGAAGGCGAGGTAGCTCTTCGCCTCTTGGAACCCATGGAATCCAACTTCTTCTATAATGAAGAGAGATGTTCTTAAACTCATGGCATTGCATCCAAACTCTGTGGTGAGAGCTAACTATGAAGCTAGCAATGCTTTAGGATGAGTCACGTACGTTTGTTACATACTACAGTTCAGTTAATCCCTATATCTAAACACCAGCTTTTTGAAAATTGACAGGAACAAAGGGAAATCAAAAGGGTCCTACAGTTTTACAGTCACTGATGGCAGCAATGTCAGAAAGCTCACAGTGATGATGATGAATTTAGTAGCTCTTACTAGGATGTGTTCTTAAACTACCTACATTTTGGTACCTCATCCTAAGCATGATAACTAAGCGAGAACTGCTGTTTTAAAGGGAAGACCTGTACAGACACAAGTGCTCGGTTATGGTGTAAAAGCATGTAATTCCATGTCAAATTAAAATAAACAACAACAACCACCAAACAGACAAAAAAACGCCACATGAGCAAATCAAATTATTTGAATTTTACTTTGTACTGAACAACACTGTCTTAGATTCAAGCCAAAAAAGGTCTGGGCCACGGTGTGACCTACCACCCTCACTCATGCAGGATGAATGGCTCAATCATCAGGAAGCAGAAAAAGCCACCTCCTTTTTAGCCATAGTTTTCCATTTATCAACAGAAACAGCGACAAATGAATAACCACCATCCAACAACTGTGGTGACTTACAGAACAAGTTGTTGGCTCTTCCCCAACTTCCAGTGACAGCGTCATAAAAATATCTTTATTTATAGCTCTCTCAAAGGCTGAAGACAAAATAAATCCATCTACCCCAGCCTACACCCATTTTCCAACCAAATCAAGGAATTTCTTCTGGGACGCACTCAGTTGCAAGGTATGGCAGCACAACATAACCACATTAGAGCATTCCTGTTAGAGACAGAATTCATTTCAAGCACACAAATGAGATGAATAAGGCAGGAATAATTAACGGAATAAGGAAAAGCAAAAGCCTTAAGGCAGACAAATGGAGAGAATGGGGCACATACAATCAAGAATTTACCAGATTTACCAGAGTACAACCAGCACCTCGGAAAGCCAGTCTCCTCATAGTGTCTGATGGCCAAGGACAGATACTGGGAGAAGGTAATACGCTAAGAGTGGCAAATCAGCAATGGTGTTAGTACAGTCAAAACTGGAAGAAAAAGGAAAGAGAGAGAGAAGAAAATTAAGGGTAGGTATAGACAGATTATTTAGTATTAATAATAAACACAGATAAGTAAAGAATAAAATCAAGGAATAAATTGCATCATTTCAGTGACAGAGAAAAAAGCAAGAAACAGAAGGTAACTTTTTTTATCCTAGCAGAAACGCTACGAAGTAATTTTGTACACAGAACGCTAGACATTTCTGTCATTGTTACAGTAAAAACACATTTCTCTCATGTTCCTGAATCCATATTGCGGATTTCACAGCCACTTGCAAGAGAGTGATTCATCAAGCAGAGCAGGGAGTAAACACAAGCGGTATCTGACCCGAGAGTAAAAAACCAGAAAGCAGTAAAACTTACAGAACACACAGTAGTACAGTGCTTATAACACTAAGAAAATAATTTTTAAGGTCAAGAAACATTTAATAGACTTTCCAGTGATGATGCACCTCCATCGACCTTCTGAATGGATTTTTGTCCGCATAAGTAAGTAACATTAAAGATACAGCCATACAGATTCACTGAAGATGTATCTGTTTCAATTCCCAAGCAGTCTCTAAGTCTTTTTTTTTTTCAGAAATTCCATGTGAAATCTACAGAACCACTCTATGGCAAAACGATTGCTTCTACTGAGTTCACAGCACTACTGTCTTCAATAAAACCCCAGAGAGATTGTTTTCCTGTTCAGTATCCCGGACACTTTTATAACACACACATACAGAGCATCTGTGTGCTTTATTAGCAGGCAATCCATCTCAGGGACAGACAACCAGCCTGTTGGTTTTGGCACTGCCTCCAACTTTTATCTGAGCGCTACAGTGTCAAATGGCTAACAGCAGGAAGGTGCTGATGGGGAGGCCGCTGGAAAACACAAGCTCTTAGTTGTGAAAGAAAGGCAGGAGGGACTACTGGAATCAATGATTTTCACCCAGGAACCCAAAAGTACACTCAGTCCAACCCCATCCTGAAATAAAGATCTGGGGAGCCCTCAACCAGTACCTGCCTGCAAAGCACATATAGACTTCTCAAGGGAGGGGATTCTGACCCTCTACTCTGCTCTTGTGAGACCCCACCTGGAGTGCTGCATCCAGCTGTGGAGCCCTCAACATCAGAAGGATATTGACTGGTTGGAGTGAGTCCAGAGGAGGCCACGGAGATGCTCCGAGGGCTGGATCCCCTCTGCTGTGGGGACAGGCTGAGAGAGTTGGGCTTGTTCAGCCTGGAGAAGAGAAGGCTCTGGGGAGACCTTATAGCACCTTCCAGTGCCTGAAGGGCCTACAAGGAAGCTGGGGGGGACTTTTTACAAGGGCCTGTAGTGACAGGACAAGGGGTAATGGGTTTAAATTGAAAGCGGGGAGGTTTAGATTAGATATCAGGAAGAAGTTATTCCCAGAGAGGGTGGTGAGGCACTGGGACAGGTTGCCCAGAGAAGCTGTGGATGCCCCCTCCCTGGAAGTGTCCAAGGCCAGGCTGGATGAGGCTTGGAGCAACCTGGTCTAGTGCAAGGGGTCCCTGCCCATGGCAGGGGGGGTGGAACTAGATGATCTTTAAGGTCCCTTCCAACCCAAACCATTCTGTGATTCTCCACATCCGTTATCTGAGGCACATGCGCTGCAGCTCTCAGCCATACGCAGATGCTGGAGTACACCTGCACAATGAAGAGACTTGGTCACGCTGTACGCAGGCTCTGCTAGTCACCAAGGAAGGTGCAAAGCACGTATCACCGTCTGAACAACACCGTGAATACTCGGCGAGTGAGCGGCTTATGCGAAACCACTACCGAATGTCAGGCTCCAAAATGCAAACTTCTCTCTAGCTCTCCATGCTCATAAACACAGATACTCCGACTGCACAGAAATGTATTTTATTTCACTGAAGAAGGTGTTTCCTCGACTTTCTTCTGCAATGCATCTGCTAGCTCACAAGACTCTCAACAGTCACACCAAGAATCTCCACTGCTACAAATAAGCCACTTTGGATGCAACAGGAGCTTGGGTGTCTTAATAATTGCTCACATGGCCCATAAAAATGTCACGTAACCACAGACATCTCTATAAGAAGTGCTTCAGCCATTGCTAATACACATGTCCACTGATACGTACGCAACGGATGGACTGCTTCTCCTGAAAGATGGACTACTGACCACCACGAGTATTACCCAGTCCAGCCTCATTAGATGAGCAGTTTGTATGCGCATCTGAGATAACATGCTTAAAATCAGCCAAGGAGGTTCTAGCACACGTTTCATTTTCTGCCTCCAAGTAGAGAAAAAGCTAAAAGTCAACAGATACCACAGAAAGTATTTTCTCGTTATCAGGATCTCCCATGCTTCAACAGAAATGCTAAGTAAATCGTGGTAAATTCAGCAAACGGAACAGGGGAGGGAAACAGCCCAAATTCCCTGATTACCGATCACACTGAAAGCAGCTACCACACAGGAAAAGGGGGCCAGCAGCAACCAGAGACTATAAAAGGGCGGAGTTGGTGAAGAAGTGAAAGGTAGCACACATCTTTTATCAACACACGTTTTAGCAAAACTAGGACAAGAAAAAAAGAGGCAAAACACGTAATTTCTCCAAACCGTCCCGCAGGCGGGCTCCTGCTCGCACCCAGCCCGGTTTACGAGGTGTTACCGTTGGTGGGAGGAGACAAAGAAAAACACCTTTTCGGGCACCGGAC